CACGATTGTAGAGTTACAGAGTTCAAGAGAACAATCAATATTCACACATTTCTCATCATTGAAAGACATCAGTTGAAGTGGTAAGAGTTTAGTTACTTTAATGCATACCATTCATTTGATACTCATTCGAAATTAGGTAGTTCAGGTATTGATTGGAATGGTGATGATGATGATGATGATGATGATGATGATGATGATGATGATGATGATGATGATGATGATGATGATGATGATGATGATGATGATGATGATGATGATGATGATGATGATGTTTTCTGCATCTGTGTTCATCTTTCGGCAAAACACTATCACTCAATCACAAATGCACCACAAATCACAATCAATCACAAAGCAATATAAACAACTCAGGTGTGTAATCACAATATACTAGTGTAAACTAGAAATAAACATCTGATAACATGTAGGCTGGTTGTTTAGTAGCACACTTATCATTGATTTCGAATTGTGTAATTGAGGGACCACATGTTCCATAAGATTGACAGATTGAATAATGAATGTGAGAACTGGAGAATATATGGTATAGAGAAGTATTTACTGAATGATTAGACGAAGTGATCCAGTTCTACTGAACATTCGTCATCAATCGAATAAGATTGTTTTCAATATGCATGATCACATAAATTTGTGAGGCATCATAATCAGTTGTTGAATAAGTACTATTTTTAAGTATCCGTATCATTCACTACAAGCGGCATCCATCTGTGAGATGATTTCAGTCGTGACGTTGATTAATAAGTCATCATTCAATTGAGATCCCGAATATCGGAGCATGATTTCAATCAATGAAATTATAAATGACGAGAGAATATTTGTGTCAATCCATTCACATTACACAAATACCAACTAAGGCAGATCGATAATAGTACCGAATTTCAACCACAGGAAATTACATTTACCTAATAACATTTAGCCATTATTTGAACTCAGTAGAATAGGAGATAAACCGTTGAGGTTCGAAGATGTAGACACTGGATTGAAATATGATTCGATAATTAACACTTAGATACATGGGTACATAGAACAAACAAGTTAGTAGCATGTGCATGTACTTGGAATAATGCCAGTTACTTACGTTTTAGTCTATGCAATACTCAAAATCGAACAATCCCATAATATCACATATATTTTATCATGTTGATTAATATTTGATGAAAATCCTGTTTAGTGAATAACCTAAGTGTAAGTGGATCACACCGAATTCTTCTGAATGCTTCAGAAAGCATCTTTCTGTGTTCGAATACTATCAGTTCTAATCGGAATAAACTTCCCGCTCAGAACGCTAACACTCCTACATCCATTCAAACTACTACTACTGTGGTGTGTGCTACCGATGTCGACAGATACAAGTAGTATGTATCACCAGTCAGAAGTAGAATGCCTGGAGGAAGAACGTTGAGAAGATCGACAAGAAGAGAGTGATTGATATGTAAATAAAGCAACAATAAAGTCTGAGACAACTGAAGGATATTTTGTAAATGAAGTATTTACTGTATGGTTATCGATTTCAACTCGTTATCACATTCACTGCATGTAATCAACTCTTACTAATTTGTTTTCTTAATCACGTATCTATATTATTACCGGTTGACTGACAACTATTCACTGTGTTTCCATATAAACCATCAATGGCAAACACAAACAATCTCAGTAGTTCCGTTTATCACAATTCATTCATCAACATACTCCACCATTCAGTGACTATAGATGATAGAGCATAGACAATGGTAATTTAGAGTAAAGTGTACACTTATTACGTAATATGTTGGTTGGGATGAATGAACGATTTTGTCAGTTGTCTGATTGTCTATCGAAACTATGCATATCATATCAGGTATTTGAATTCATATGACTGGACAATGAAGGTTTGGTACATTTGTAACTGTTGGAATAGGAATCAGGTATATATGGTTCAGTTAACCAGTGTTGTTTATTGTTTGTGTATCTTCAATTTTGTGAAATGTACGAAATCGTTTAATACATGATAATATTGTTTATTCAGTGGGAACACTATTCACTTCACTATGTATCTACAAGTCATGATAGATTTGCTCTGTACATAGATCGCCATCTAATGTTTTGTGTTAAATAATTCTACATCTATTCATCTTATAGTTGATATCAAATTTTCATGTTAAACTGCCATTCATGAGTGGTACAATATCAAGTAAGATCTCAGTGTGTTAATTTTGTTACCGAACAATTCACTCAGTGAAATTCACTCTCACTAGACTCATTGACAAGTTGTCTTCATGAAAACAAATGTGAATGAAGTAGGAAACTTACTAATTCTTGGTGCTTCAACAAATTAGACTAGAATATCAAAGGTTTGTGCAATTCACAGTGGTCATCTTATACACTTAATAAACATATTCATGTGTGTTAACCAGTAATATTTTTAATGAACGTAAAGCAGTTTCACTGTCTGAATGCTTTCCCAGTTTGTTTTTTCACAATTCCATACTGACGATTATTATAAGCTCAATTGTGACTAGTTTCAAGTGGGAATTCTTGGAATCTGTAATCGATGAAATTTACCATTGTCGTGTTTGAAACAGTTACTCACTGAAGACAATGAAAACAGTTTTTCAATATCGTTGATTGATTGAAGTTTGATTGGTATACGATTAGATTCCAGCTCTTTGGTTTAAAGGTTCTGAGTTTACTGAAGAGTTTCATACTGGGACAAAACGGTCGTCAATAAACATTCAGTGCTTTCAGGTTTTCAAGGGTTATCTTCCTTACATTGGTTCATGATTTTAATAAAATTCAACAATCTCCACATCCTCATAATTACAGTTACTTAATAATTTCATGAATAATCTGACCAACTAAATCTTTCTAACAGATACAACAGTCTACAATTTGTACTACTAAATTAAAGTATGATTTATAGTCCTGTTGTGGTGTGTGCTACTAATGTCGATAGATATAAGTAGTATGTATCATCAATCCAATGTGAAATACCTGGTGGCAGAAGGTTAAGAAGAGAGAGAAGAAAAGAGAACGAGAACAAAGAATGAATGGTATGGAAACGAAAGAACAATGAAGTCTGAGGCAATCAATTGACATTTTACAAATGAAGTATTCACTGTATGATTCTCAGATTGTACTAAGAGATTCTGTAATGTCGTATTCAAATACATTCGATTGTTCCAACTTGTTTTATGGTTCACTATTCTGTAATATAGAAAACTGTATTTAGTAATTCGACTTGCTTACACATAATCAACTAAAACTCTAAAGCCAATTATCCATCGAATGTAAAAGACGGTTACATAGTTTGTTACTAGGGTTTCCCCATGTAAACATAAATCACTTAATAGTAAGAAAAAATTGTTACTTGGGAAAGAAATACTAATTATTCATTCTATTCTACTCTTTCTACTCTCTAAACCATATGTTCAATACTTCATTTGTACATCCTTCATTATTTATCACGAACTTTATTATCAGTATAGTGGTTGTGGAGATTGTTAAGTTTTTGAATGAGATCATGAACCGATTGATGTTAAACCACCATTGAAAACCTGGAAGCACTGGACGGCAGTTTCATCCTATTGTGAGACTCGTTAGCAGTGCGCATCCACGATCCCGCTCGCGGGATTCCAACCAAGGGCATTCAGTCTCGCGTGCGAACGCTTAACCTACTGAACCACTGAGCCGGCATCCAATGGTGTTAATGTCTAACCTCAACCAATCCACGAAGTTGCGCAACCATTTTCCATTGTACTGAGGTAGACACCTGTTTTCACCGGACACGGATTAGTGTTATGTATTACTGATGTCGACATAAGTAGCATACACCACAATATTACAAGTGAAGATAGTTAACTTTAAACTATAGTTTCTAAGTATAATGAATTTATTGAAATGGGATCTTATGTGAATCAATAAATTTCTATACAAATAACTAAATGGAATTATAGTTTATTTCAAGAAATCTGAACGTTTAGTTATTGATCATTTGAATTGTGAAGGGTGAACAATCATACAAGAAGCCTGTGCTAACAAGTTATAATGAAACCGCCGTTTTAATTGACTTTACACTATGTAACATTTGTTGAGATATTATGTAGTTGGAGGCAGTCGGAGAATCCTTGAATTCACCTACATTTCGTGTTAGTTGATATTCATCAATTGTCTGAGAGTTTCTAAGCCATATTAATCAGTCTCACAGTGTCAGACGTTGTTACTATAGCTATTAAAGAAATGGTCTCAAGAATTGTTTATCGAAAATTAATCGTTGAGTAGTGACCAATGCCATGTTTATTTAGTACATGATGCTGACCGAATCTGATGGATTCACTTTCAGTTAGTTGATCATTCTATCATTATTCTATCCACAACATCAATGAATATTATGAGTACTCTATTCACTCGACTAGTCATACCTGTTCATTTCAACTAATCTACAAATGTCAATCGTAATGAGGAGAGCGCTTTATGAGTTGAACAACTGTTTGTGTTTCTCAAACATTTCACAATTCTCCAGTATGTAATCAGTGAACATTCTACTAGATTGTGTAACAAAATACAAACACACACAAACTTGTAGTGATTCGGATTCGGATAATTAAAAATAGTACTTATTCAACAACTGATTATGATGCCTCACAAATTTATGTGATCATGCATATTGAAAACAATCTTATTCGATTGATGACGAATGTTCAGTAGAACTGGATCACTTCGTCTAATCATTCAGTAAATACTTCTCTATACCATATATTCTCCAGTTCTCACATTCATTATTCAATCTGTCAATCTTATGAAACATGTGGTCCCTCAATTACACAATTCGAAATCAATGATAAGTGTGCTACTAAACAATCAGCCTACATGTTATCAGATGTTTATTTCTAGTTTACACTAGTATATTGTGATTACACACCTGAGTTGTTTATATTGCTTTGTGATTGATTGTGATTTGTGGTGCATTTGTGATTGAGTGATAGTGTTTTGACGAAAGATGAACACAGATGCAGAAAACATCATCATCATCATCATCATCATCATCATCATCATCATCATCATCATCATCATCATCATCATCATCATCATCATCATCATCATCATCATCATCATCATCATCATCATCATCATCATCATCATCATCATCATCATCATCATCATCATCATCATCATCATCATCATCATCATCATCATCATCATCATCATCATCATCATCATCATCATCATCATCATCATCATCATCATCATCATCATCATCATCATCATCATCATCATCATCATCATCATCATCATCATCATCATCATCATCATCATCATCATCATCATCATCATCATCATCATCATCATCATCATCATCATCATCATCATCATCATCATCATCATCATCATCATCATCATCATCATCATCATCATCATCATCATCATCATCATCATCATCATCATCATCATCATCATCATCATCATCATCATCATCATCATCATCATCATCATCATCATCATCATCATCATCATCATCATCATCATCATCATCATCATCATCATCATCATCATCATCATCATCATCATCATCATCATCATCATCATCATCATCATCATCATCATCATCATCATCATCATCATCATCATCATCATCATCATCATCATCATCATCATCATCATCATCATCATCATCATCATCATCATCATCATCATCATCATCATCATCATCATCATCATCATCATCATCATCATCATCATCATCATCATCATCATCATCATCATCATCATCATCATCATCATCATCATCATCATCATCATCATCATCATCATCATCATCATCATCATCATCATCATCATCATCATCATCATCATCATCATCATCATCATCATCATCATCATCATCATCATCATCATCATCATCATCATCATCATCATCATCATCATCATCATCATCATCATCATCATCATCATCATCATTATCATCATCATCACCATTCCAATCAATACCTGAACTACCTAATTTCGAATGAGTATCAAATGAATGGTATGCATTAAAGTAACTAAACTCTTACCACTTCAACTGATGTCTTTCAATGATGAGAAATGTGTGAATATTGATTGTTCTCTTGAACTCTGTAACTCTACAATCGTGTGAATTGAGTGAGTGATCATTTGTGAAATTAGTAGTGATAGGTTTAGTGTAAGTCGAAACGAGTGAGACCGGGTTCACATCGTTGTATTAAGAACATGAATGGATCACTGATGAATGAGTATTTTTCCATCAAACTGTGTCTCACGAACAATGTTAATCATTTCGAACAGACCATCAAATATGTGAATGTGTCTAGACATTCGAATTTCACAACAACAACAACGACAACAATAACGGGAATTTAACTTCATCATCTACTTTACTTAGGTCAACTATGTATAAATAATCAACATTCGAAAATCATGTTGGATTTATGTTTAATTTATGACAGAATTATTGATAAACATGCCGTAATTCGATCAACTCTGTTATTGAATATAACAGCATTGACTGATGTAAACTAGCTGGTTGTGGAGATATATATTAGCTGAATGGGATATATTCAAAATATATGTGAAGACGTCAATAATGTGATGAGTGTAGTGTGATTAACGAGACAGAGAATGTGAGGTGTAATTAAAGCATGAAGTATGTGAGCCATTCGATAATGCAACAACGAACAACTTGTCGTCACTCTGTCAGTCAGTCAGTCAGTCAATAATAACGTGAAAGAATGAGCAATTTTCAACACTTATAACATCACACCAATATTTCCATCATCACAAACGAATCCAAATTCTACTACATCCGTGTGGTAAATCTCACACATTCTGTATTCTCTCTATATAATGGTGATGATGAATAGATGTGAGATAATGCTCTGTGTTTCAACGGAATATTCACCATTACACAACATCGGTGTATGTTATGAGTACTCAGTTCACACGACTAGTCACACCTGTTCATTTCAAATTATCTCCAAAATTAATCTTAATGAGGAGAGCGATTTATGAGTTGAACAATTGTTTGTGTTTCTCAAACATTTCACAATTCTCTAATTGGTAATCAGTGAACATTCTACCACATTGTGTAATAAAACACACTGTCGATCTACACTGATCCGAGTTGTCAGTTTGGTGGTAAACGGAATTCAGTATAAAGTTAGAATGCACAAGATTGATTAAACCAATATTACATTCCTGATCACGTCCAGTGAGATGTTAACGAGTTCCATGTGCCGAATGTTCTGAGACAGAGTGTTTCGATAAGACTACCGAAAAACAACAAACAAATACTTTCATCAGTGAATTTAACAGTGTGTATTTTCGATTTTATTGAGAATATGAATTGTGTATTTGCATATCTTGTATTTTGGCATAGATGTTCACATCGAATGATCAAGTGATCTGAATGAAACGTAAATCAACAGACTATTTTACAATGTTAAATATTTAGAAAATCTGAATGATGAAAACAATGAGAATGGTTGTTATGCATCAACGATAATAAAAGTGTGTTTTTGTGTTTGCGTGTGTGTGCGTGTTAGAGTAGAAGGAGTGGGAGGAATGTTTCTGGTTGTCAACGATTATGGTGATGCAGATGCCATCAACTTCTTACTATCGCGTTGTGATTCTTCATAATCAATGTCCACAACGAAATCGGATTTCCTATCCAAATGTATACCGATAGTCAATTCGTATAAGACTGCACCGATCACAGCACCAATATACGGTCCAGCTATTGGTATCCAGAAGAAGTAGTTTCCTCCACTGAATGCTTGGTTACCCCAACCTAAACATGTGTTGTGAAACAGTGTATAATAAAGTGAGAATATGTGGATAGATTACAAACTGAATGTAATGCATATTGATCGTCATGTTATTCACTGATTATATTGAAAATATTTGGATACGAACTGTAGTAATTCTATGCAAGAGATGATTAGATTAATGTAAGTAGTAGTAGTAGTAGTAGTACAATGAAGTTATGTTCAGTAGTTCACGACAGAAGTGACATCACTATGTTCAGTTTAGTGTAAGCATGCACGATAATCAAGGCAAATGGAAGTTATCTATCATCCATCCATTTGTGTGATTTAATCGACAATTAATAAACCTAGTTGAATGGCTTTTTCGAATCATTTTAGAATGTCCTATTAAAAGTATGGGAACACTTTAATCCTTCATCTGATCGATTTCCACTCTCGTCTACAGTGACATTTGATCGTGAATTCCCACTACACACATCAACATAATCCACCCAATACACTGTATCTCAATTCCAATGAAATGACTTATGTGAGACACTGCAAAATGTTCGACCGTATGAAGATAGGACAAATTCATCGTCAACCTGTCACTCAACTTTGCACCACCAATATTCTCTCTCGTATTTTACATTTGACTGATCATTTTGATTTCACAGATTGAAATCATGAGTCAGTTGAAGCTAGACCATCATGGAAAATCTGAAAGCACTGGACGGCCGTTTCGTCCTAGTGTGGTCTCCTCATCAGTGCGCATCCACTGTCCCTCACCACGCGAGACTCGGACCCAGGACCTACCGGTTTTGCGCGCGAGCACTTAACAATTAAACCACTGAGCCCACATCGAACGCCGTTAATGTCTAACTTCAATCAATCCACGAAGTTGCGCCACCGTACACCATTGTCTTCAGTGAGCTGATATCTCACGAAAGACCAGTGGAGTTCAACCAGGTCATGGATGCGCACTGCTGAGGAGTCCCATACTAGGACAAAACGGCCGTCCATTGCTTCCAGGTTTTCCACGGTGGTCTAGCTTCAACTGACTCAGGATTTCAATCTGTGAAATTTCTAAAGTCTCCACAAACCCCTTCTGATATTCTTGATTTGTTGTAGGCTAGTAATTTGTGCACATGAATAATCACAGAATTTCTTAATCTGAATAGCATGAGATGATACGAGTAACATGTGTGATCATCCGGTCTTCTAATTGACACATTGTGAATGGATGAGAATGATGTGTGGTGAATAGATCGTTCAATGTATGCATCGGTATCATTGTTCATTTACACAGTATTGATGTTGTGGTTAGCCACTCAGAAACTGCATAATAGTATTGAATTTGTGAGAGTGTT